CCCCACACGTGTATACACACGGCCCCACACGTGTATACACACGGCCCCACATGTGTGTACACACGGCCCCACACGTGTATACACACGGCCCCACATGTGTGTACACACACGGCCCCGTTATATCCCCCTTGCACTGTGTTTGTCTCCACCCTCACCATGAATTCACACAGCTGTCCATGCATCCCCACCTTGTCCTACATCCCTCCCCTTCCCAGCACTACCCTTCTCTCCCCCTCCCCAGCACCCTGGCCTCCCTGGGCTAGCCTGCTCTCCCTGGGCTAGCCTGCTCTCCCCCCGCCCCCCCAGGAGCTTTCTCTGGAAAATGGCTTCCCTGTCCTGCTGGTCCCAGCCAACACTGGCTGGCCTTGCCTGTCATGTCGGGTTAGCAGGTTGCCCTTGGCCATTTCTGTCTCCTGTGCAGGGGGCACATGGCAGGTGTTAACGGATTGGACTTGATAGAAGCACGTGGGACTGGCCAAAAGAGCCAGTTCAAAACAGAAGCAGCAGACTTACTTTACTTTGGCCAGGAAGAAGCTGTTTGTCTCCTGGGTCAGAAGGCGATGGGAGGAGCAGGGGGGAAACAGGGTTTGGGCAGCCGCAGCCCACGAGGCATTTAGGACCCTTTCAAAAAATGTTTAATTCTGTGCATGCATGTGGGAGGGAAGGTGCCGATGGAGGCCAGAAGAGGGCGTCAGATCCCCTTGAGCTGGAGTTACAGGTGATTGTGGGCCACCCGAGGTGGGTGCCAGGACCCAATTAAAATCAGCAGTGTGTACTTTTTTTTTTTGTTTTTTTGAGACAGGATTTCTTTGTGTACCAGTGTGGCTGTCCTGGAACTCACTTTGTAGCCTGGCCTCAACTCAGAGATCCGCCTGCCTCTGCCTCCCAAGTGCTGGGATTAAAGGTGTGCACCCCTGTGTCTGGCAAGCAGTACATGCTTTTAACTGCTGAGCAGTTAAAAGTCCAGCCTGTGACTGTTTTAACATGTATTTTATGTGTATGAGCTTTGCTGTATGTCTGTCACATGTGCATGAAGTGTTGAAACTGGAGTAATTGATGGTTGTGAGCCACAGTGTGGGTGCTGGGAAGCAGCCCTGGGTCCTCTCGAGGGTAGCGAGTGCTCTTAACCACTGAGCCATCTCTCCAGCCCCCAGGGACTTTCGTTTTTCAAATGTTCACAATGTTGTTTGTTTGTTTGGGACAGGACCTTACCATGTAGTGCAGCCTGCCTTCAAACCCAAGATCCTCCTGCCTCAGCCTCCTGAGTGCTGGGATTCTAGGCAGGTGGTACCATGCTCACTAATACAATTTCAGTTTACATAATGGAAAGCCTTGGGAAATCCATCCTGCTCATCAGGATGGATTCCTGGCCACCCGTGTCTCCCAGGCCAAGCAAGGCAGATGGAACACATCTTCATCCTTGCAGAGTTCTTTTGGGAGGAGCTGGTTTGGACTGGCTGCGTGCTGCATTCTCAAATTCATTATTTATCCAGCAAATATTTATGGGAGGCCCACTGGGCAAGCAGAGTGCAGGCTCCCCAGGGCGAGTGAAGACTCCTGGGCTGTTCCTGCACCCCCACCTGCCCTTCACTTCCCATTCGAGTTTGGCTGTAGCCAGAGGTGGGGTGGGGTGAGGGAGGGAGTTGGATGGCTGAGCTTGCGGACCTTTAGTGAGGAATATGGGCCATTTGGATCTGGGCTCTTCTCTCTTCTTGGTCCTCTTCCACACTGACCTGGAAGGATGCCAATGTGGCAAGTTCAAGTGGTGTGCTCTGTAAACCCTGCCACAGACGCCCCACCCCACCACACCCCACCCCACCCCACCCCACCCCTGCACGGAGCTGGCCATTATTTACTTAGGAAGGCAGGTCTTGAGGTGCAATAAAAAGCTGAGAGAAGCTTCTAGGTAGGAATGTTGCAGCCCCAGGCTGGAAGCCACTTGCTGTGGAAGAAGCAGCAGCCCAGCCAGAGCCTCTTCCGGCTGCCCACTCTGGTGGCCGGTATGATACAGGGAGGCCGGGCCGGCTCCGAGACGACAGCCTGAACACCTTTGCTTCCAATCCAGGGACTTTGACTTCAGTGAACTCAGCTGGAAACAAAAGTATTTTATTTATTTATTATTTCTGCATAGACAGACCCTTCTTATGTAGTCCTGGCTGATCTAAAACTCACTATATAGACCAAGCTGGGCTCAAACTTACTGTACTCCTCCTGCCTCTGCCTCCTGAGGCTGAGATTACAGGGGTGTGTCACCACTCTTGACATAGGAAACTCTATGTGCGCATGTGTGTGGGCGTGTGTACAGGCCTTTGTGTGTGTGCATGTGCGTGGGTATGGGTGTGCACATGCCTGTGGGTGTGCATATGTCTGCTTGTATGTGTGGTGGCCAGGTGATAAGCTTGATTGTTATTTATCAGGTGCCCATTACATTTTTTTTCCTTTTTCTTTTTGAGACAGGGTCTTCCACTGTCCTAGACTAACTATTAGTCTGGGCTGGCCAGTGAGCCCCAGGGACCCTCCTCTCTCTGCCTTCCCAACATCGGGATCAGGTGTGAACACTGTCTATGCCCAGCATCGGGATCAGGTGTGAACACTGTCTATGCCCAGCATCGGAATCAGGTGTGAACACTGTCTATGCCCAGCATTGGGATCAGGTGTGAACACTGTCTATGCCCAGCCTTTTTACATGGGCGATAGGGATCAAACTCAGATCCTCCTGCTTGGAAGAAAAGTGTTGTATTCACTGAACTATCTATCACACCTGTTCCCCAAATTTCATTTGTTAAGTGGTCATTTACAGGGCCCCCTAACTTGGGGTTGGATTCTCTTGGGCCCCTGCCCTGAGGGCAGGAACCAGCCTGGAGAGGTGTAGTATCCTTTCTGCAGGGCTCAGTTCCCCCCTCCTCACAGGACCCCCCCAGGAACACATCAAAAGCCCAGCCCCCTTCACAACCCCTTTTCCATGGGCCCTATCATGTGGCCCTGTTATGTGGGGGTTCTTCCTTGCCTGTTTCCCCCGGGGTCTCCTGGTCACTGTCAGTAAGTCAGGCTGCCTGGCTACACTGGTACTTTCTTCTGCCCCCTCCCCACCCAGCTAGTGTTGGGGAATGCAGATATGTGCCCCCAGAAGGGTCTGTGGAGCCAGGATGGCATGTTGGCATCTCAACTGAGCCAACTCATGCTGTTGGGTACAGTTTGGAAAAGCCCTAGTGGTCCATGGTCCCAGTTCCTGGTTGCTCTCTGAAGTCACCTGAACCTCTTTCTTTGGCTCCACAGGAGGAGACACTTTAGTTCAGGGGCCTAAAGGTCCACTCAGGAGAAGTCACACCAAGAAAACTTTGGGGCAGAGTTGTTTGGGAAAGCCAAGTCACATTATGGGAGAGGACAGGGGAGGAAGCAATCCTGGAAGTCTTCCTAAAAGAGGAGGTAATGCCTGAGCGCTGCAAAATTAACAGTTCCTGACTGACTGACTCCCCAGCTGCTTCTTCAGGTGGGTTTGAGTCACCTCTGTACCTTGGAGGGGTTGTAAACCTGCGAGTGACATCACAACATGGTGTGGCCAGGGCGTCCAGGTTATGGGTGTGGGTCAGTGCTTGGTGAGGAAGGCCAGGTTGCTGACCAGGGGACTGGAAGAGGCTGGAGATGTATTGACCTAACTGAGCTGGGGCTTTGGGCTGGCATCACCAGATGTTCCAGAGCTGTGTCCTGGGGAGCCTGCCTTCCCAGAAGAGTCCCATGATGTTCAGAGAGACCTTCTGCTACATGCTGGAGGCTAGCCTGGGCTAAGACCTTATTTCAAAAAAGTTCTTTCTTCCTCGGGGAAAGAGGAGAGAAGCAAAGCTTGTCCACATCGGCAAAGCTGTTGAAACTAAGCTAGCCCTTGTGGGTTACCATATTTCCCGAGCATAAGCATCACAGTTCCTTGTGTTACCCTGGAGTGGGAGGGGCATGAGTGGCCATTGAGTTGTCCCCAAAACCTACGCACACTGTGGGCAGTGGGTTTCTTGGCTCTTGTAGCTGGGGCTTGCCCTGCCTCTCATCCTTTCTCTCAGCCTCCGCCTATGACTAATGCAGCCATGCATCTGAGCCATCCGCACAGGGTTTTTGTTTCAAATTATTCTCCTTGTTGGGCCAGAACACTTAGATTTTTAGGCAAAGCGGGAAACCGACCTTGAGCCAAACAGGGCCCTCCAAAGCTGAGGGTCACAGCGACTGCAGAGACCACAGCACGAAGCCTAGGGCATGGACCACCTGGCGTCTGCAGGAGGCGCCAGCGCTGGCCTGGGCCCACTTGCCATCCTGGGCCACTGGTGCACACGGCCTCTCAAGTTGCTCTGGTTTTCTGCCGCCCTAGGAGTTGGGCCTGGGAGTCTCATGTAGAAGAAGCGATTTCTTCTTACTATTTTTTTTTTGTACTTACTAAATATGATAGAATGAACAGACATTGCATTTATAAGCAGAAAACCCATCAAGGAGTGTTTTTTCAAAGTTAAGAAAGAGAGTAACTAAAACCAGGCCCTGGTGGTGCACACTTATAATCTTAGCACTTGGGAGGTAGAAGCAGGAGGCTCTCAGAGTCGGGGGCGGGGCGATGGCTCAGCAGTTAAGAGCACTTGTTGCTCTTGCAGAGGACCCAGGTTCAATTCCCAGTATCCATATCGTGGCTCACAGCCACCCATAACTCCAGTTCCAGGGATCCAACACCCTCTTGTGGCCTGCTTGGGAACAAGGCATACACATGGTACATATATACATCTAGACAAAACACTCGGGTACATAAAATAAAAAAGGAATAAGTCCAAACAAACATACAAACAAACACAAACCCCAAAACGCAGGCTGCTCAGAGACCCTCTGCTACATGCTGCAGGCTAGCCTGGGCTAAGACATTTCAAAAAAGTTCTTTTCTCCTGGGGTCGGGGGTAGGGGTGAGTGGGGGGGGGGAGGAGAGAAGAAAAGAAAAAACCCCAGCCCGCCATGAACTTCCTCCTCCTGCTGGGTCTGTTTTAGATGGAAATGGTCGTTACTGCCCAGTTTGAAGTGCTGTTTGTCTGCATAGGGCACCTGCCTTGTATTCCCGGCTGTACAAATGTGTTTTCTCTCAGACGTGCTTAGCATCACTGTGGATGTCCCCTCTGAGGCCCCTTGCCTACCTCTGCCGCCTGTCGGGGACTCCAGGCATCCCTTGACTTTTGGCCACATCATTCCATCCTCAGGGCAGTGTCTTTGACTCTCTTTGACCCGGCTTCAACTTCCTTCCCTATGTGTGTCAAACTCCCTCTCATTTTAAAGCACACACCCGCCCCCCAAATAAAGAAGCAGTCCAGACAGGAAGCTATTGAGGAGAGTCCTTAAAATGTGATGAAGATGCTGAAGTGTAGCTCCTAAGCTGGTGGCTTTGGGCAGGGTGGGGAAGGACTCAGTCTTCTTTAAGGGGCTGGCCACCCGGAGTGTGAGCATGCTCCAGTGAGTATATGGGCAAAACAAATTGGATTTGATCTTTTATTTTTTGTTTTTCTTTTTTTTGGGGGGGAGGGGGAAGGTGGGAGGGTGGATCTGAGAAATGGAAGTTAGTGTGATCAGGGTGCACTATATGAAATACTCAATTAATAAAAATATTATGTTGGGGAAATGCAAATTATTATTAATTCCTTGAGTTTCATAACATGTATTTAGATCATATTCACCCCTGTCTCCTCCCCTTAGCTCCTCCCAGACATATCCCCCACCTCCTCACCCTCCCAACTTCAAGTGCTCACGCTCGATTTTTTTATTAAATAACCCATCAACTCCAATTTTTGCTGGGCACCTACCTTGTGTGTGGGACCGTCCTTTGGCACACAGTTGGCCTCCCAGGAGCCACGCCCTGTAGAAGAACTGACTCTCCACCCACCAACTGTCGCAGCTCCTCAGTTGGGGTGGGAGGTCATGAATCCCTCCCGCCCCCATGCTGGATGCGTTGGCTTGCTCTCTAGAAGGTCTTACGCAGGCAGCCACAGATGCTCTAAGTTCATGGGTGCATCATCCTGTGGTGTCCCGAGGATGACACTCTCTGGACCTGGCCTCCCTCACCTCTGGCTCTTCTCACCTCTTCCTCTGGTTCCTGAGCCTCAAGGAGGGCCTGGGATGTCAATGTCTGTGTTCAGCTGAGCACCTGCTCATTTTACTCTCTTAATTCAACCAGAATGTGAGTTTCTGTGTTAAGCATTGTCCACTGCATCCCCCTCAAAAAAACCTCACAATTTCTGTGATGAATTATTCCTTTTTCTAAAAAGTTTTTTAAAATTGTTTTACATATATTTATTGTGTGTTCAGGAATGTGAATGCTGCAGTACATGTATGGAGGTCAGAGGTCAGGCGTAGGTGGCAAATACCTTTCCCACAAGAAGCCATCTTGCTGGCCCCGCCTCAAGGAGCCCAGGCTGGCCAAACTTCTATATAACCAAAATGACCTTGAACTTCTGATCCTTCCCAGTGCTGGGATTATAGGTGTGCATTAATGTACCTGGTTTATGTGGTGCTGGGGGTGGAGCCTACGGCCTTCTATTTGCGAGGCAAGCATTCTTCCAACTGAGCCGCATCTCCAGCCCCAAATGTCCCCCTTAGAGACATGTATGCTGCTGCCTTTTGGGCCACCTGAGTGATCCAGGACAAAGTCTTCATCTGAAGTCCCATTCCTAACAAGGCCTCGGTCATGGGTTCTTGGATGTGAGTTCTTAGGGGGCCATTGGTCAACTCTTCCAGTGCCCGAGTCTCTCTCTCCACCAAAGGCTCCGTTCCCAACTCTCTCACGGTGCAGGCTGCCCTTTGAGGCTCCACTCCACGCTCCCTGACAGGGACATTTTGCTTGATGTCTCCCAGGAGGCTAGGAATGATCTGCACACTCCCACAGAAGATGCCTTACTGTCTAGGGAAGCGCATTTGGGGTCCTGCCCCAGACAGGGAGGGGATGAGCCTGGAGTGGCATCTTGGGCTTGTGGTGCTTTAGCTGTGGGATGAGGGATCGTGGCCTCGTGGTGAGGGAGCATCTACCGAGGCCTGCAAGGGACCAGGGACAGTGAATGTGTCAAGGAGCCCTGGGAACCTAGCACAGTGGACAGACAGTGTGCGCCTTATCTGAAGGCTGTGACGTTTGGGCTAGCAAGCACCCAGTGGCCAGGCATGAATGCTTTCCCAGGCTCGCCGTGTGCCCTCTCTTTTCCAAGAGAGACTGTAAGTCTGAGCGAGGCAGGGTGACACATGCCCGTAGTTCCAGTGCTTCTGATGAAAACCACGAGGATCTCCACAATTTCAAGGCCAGCCTGTTTTACTTAGAGTTCTAGTCCCTGTCTCAAAATACCAACAAAACCCCAACACATTAAAGAGACACTGTTTTTACAGAAACCTTAACACGAATACATGTTTTCTCTAGAGACCGGACAGCAAAGCCCCCTTTCCACCAGGTTTGAATGATCTTTTGGTGCAAGGATGCCGCACACCCTGGGGCCCTTCCCCAAAACCCTCCTATTGATGCTGCTGAGCCCATCAACCCAGCCAGGGCTTTGAGCAGGTGTTGAGGGCTCCCCCTACCCCGGCCTGGTGAGCAGCCCCTGGACCAGGTGTCCAACAGGAAATAGAGCTGAGCCCCGGGGCCAGCCATGTTCTCAGAGAGCCGCTGAGTCTGGGGAAATCGCAGCCGGAGGACGTGTTCCCTCCCTAGGGACTTACTGACTCATATGTATGGGGTGGGAATCTTCCAGGAAGCCTCCAGCCAGCTCAGCCTCTCGGGAGCGTGGGGTGGGGACAGCCTGTCCCTCTGATGCTGCAGGCTAACAGGACAAGGGGACCTTTTCAGGATTTGTTTGGGGCAGGTATCTGGAACCTTCTCTCAGTCCTCCTGTCTGGGAGGTGACCGCCGCCTGCCCAGATAGGTTGCATGTGGTGGGGCTGAGATCTAGACCTGCAGAGTAAGGTGAGGCAGGCACGCAGGATACAGGCTTTTTAAAACGTTTGAAAATCGCAGCGTCGCTGGACGGGAGGAAAATGAAAGACTTTGGAAGTGGCCAGGAATTTGACTCTACGAGTTGGTTTCCAAGAGCCTAAGTTAGGCATCTCCAAGTGGATATTAAAGGGAACAGCCAGACTCCAGCGGCGGGGGCTGGAGGGGGCGGAGAGAGGAGGCGCTGCCGGAAGCTGCATGCTGGACGGCTGAGGCCACCACACTGAAGGCCAGGCAGCTGGTCCCGCGCTCAGGGAGAGGAACCAGGGACGCCCCGGGATCCCATCGAGCCAGCCCCCACCCCCCATTTTTCAATTTCTCCCTGTGCTCCCTGTTCCCCTCTGTGGCAGAGACAATGCTACTTCAGTTCGGAGCAGAGACATATGACCAACACATGGAAATGTGGTAATTTGGATCTGTTCGTGATTGCAACAGATTGAAGAAATTAGACCAGACAAAGAGTGTTTTTAGAGGAAGAGGAGGAGGCAGAGAGAGGGAGGGTGACAGGGTGAGAAAGGGGAGGAGGACCCCTCCACGCAGGGGACACCGGCATCCGTCTGCCTGCTGTAAATACATCCATCCGTAGGAATGGAGAGAGACCGCATCACAGGTAGGCCACGGCCCTCCTTGTCCCACGTCCCCCATCCCTGAACCCGACCCACGTCCAACTGGTGGCTTTACCAGTGAGCACCCAGGGTCAAGTTCACTTACTTTTACAGAAATATTTCCTCTTCCTGCTGACTATTCCACGTTGGTGAGCTGGAATGCCGCTTCCCACTAAGCCCTGCCGAGTCTGGCTTTTATTTAAACCGGGTTCTCCTGCGCTACTTCTCTTTCATTTTCTGGTAGGGCTGCTTTTACGTCTGTGACCACTGTGAATTTAGAGACGCAGGAAGGGTGGATGGTGGGGACGGGCTCTGCATCAGGGCCAAGACAGCCTGGCTTGTTTGTCCATCATCTGGCCTTGGTCTTCTCCTGAAATAGCCTTGCTGGGCCTCTTGGGCAGTTGATTATAGAGGTGGTAGCTCCCAGTGCTTGGAGGAGGTGTATGCACACGTGTGCACCCTCGTGTGAGTGTGTGTGTGTGTGTGTGTGTGTGTGTGGTATGTGGGTGTGTGGATGTGTGTGCGCACGCGTGCATGTGTGTGCGCCTGCACGCATGCATGTGTGTGTGTGTGTGTGGTGTGTTTGTGCGCGCACGTGTGCGTGCGCTCGCGCGCGTGTGTATGTGCATGCGTGTGTGCATGTGTGTGTGTGTGCTGTGTGTGTGGTGTGTGGTGTGTGTGTGGTGTGTGCGTGTGCGTTTGCGTGTGTGTGTGTGTGGTGTGTTTGTGCGCGCACGTGTGCGTGCGCTCGCGCGCGCGCGTGTGTGTGTGCATGCGTGTGTGCATGTGTGTGTGTGCTGTGTGCGTGTGCGTGTGCGTGTGTGTGTGTGTTCATTCGTAGGGCCCTAGTGCATGCTTCTGAGTGCACATGTGGCCATGCACTCCTGCAGCCCCTTTGGATCCAGTAGAGACCCAGCAGGGGTGTAAACAGTTCAAGGAAGAGAACTGAGTACCCCTTTCCTCAGCTGTCCCATCAAGTTGTTTCCAGGTTAAGCTGCCAATTCCTGCTGGGACGTCAGTCTCTGAGGTCAGCCTGCCTCCTCTGCCTTGGGCACCATCTGAGTCATAGGCTGTGGGATAGTGTGGGTGGGGAATTCTAGGGATGTGACCCTTACTCTGGACCCGTGTTGTCCTGTGGTCATGGTCAGACTAAGCCCCACCCAAAAGTGTCGTTGGCCCTGGGCTACTGATTGCTTCGGAGTGAATACCCAGGGACAGGGGTCTCTAAGAAGCCAGACAGAAGGAAAGAGGCACATCTCAAGGGCTCCTCCAAGGGATGGCCTGACCCCACCAATCCAAGTACTGTGACATGATACCAAAGTTGGCCATGCATTCATTAAGAGGCAGCCACCTGGTGCCTGGCCGAGAGGGGTATGTCCCGTGTCCCCAGCGGGCACAACGGAAGCCCTGGGAGGGGAAACATACCTGTGTTGGGCTTGGCATTGTGACCAGCTGGAGGTGATGGGTATAGAGGTAAAATTTTCTGGGCCCAGTTTGTAGGGGCGACATGGTGGAGAATGCCAGCAGCTGGCCTGAGGCCTGGACAGGTGGAGCTGTGGCCCCCACAGGCAGCCTGGCCCTCCACATCCTCTGTCACCAGCTGTAAACAGCAGTTGTTTTAGTGGCTGGCTGGCGGGGGCCTGCACTTGTTAGTGTGGCTGTGCCGGGTTGTGGGTTCGGAGCCTCCCCAACACTAGGCGTTTACTCAGCCACTGAGCCACACCTCCCCCGGCCCAGCCCAGGTGGGTGACAGCGGTGTATTTGAGAGCCTGGCATACAGGGGAGGTGGCTCCCTGGAGACCCGAGGGTGGAGAGCTTGGAGCCTCGCGGGCTGACCAGAGCTTTTTATATACTGAACAAAGCAGCCTTTGAGAGCCGTGGATCCTGGCCTTCAGCACTCAGCCGTCACAGGTACCCTCAGCCGAGGACAGCACCAGACCAGAGCGGGGCCTTTTCCTTTCGTTTGTTTTGAGGCAGGCTACCTGGCCTCAGTCTCTGTGTAGCCCCGGATGGTGTTGAACTCCTGATCCTCCTGCCTGTATCTCTGGGGTTCTGGGATGACAAACGTTTCACACCAGGTTTACATGCTGCTGAGGATGGAACCAGGGCATTGTGTACTCCAGGCAAGCACCGCCAGGGAGCTACATCTCCAGGTGGAACCTTCTCTCAGGACGGGCCAGGGCCGAAGGTCAGTCCTTCCCTCCCTACCTTTTGGAGGGGCTATAAGTGGAAAATTAAGGACTGTAAGTATAAGGAAAATTAGAAAGACGGAAGATGTAATAGTATTTATTACTTTCATTTGGAGTTGCACCAAGTTTTTGGTTCCTAAATCATTTATTTTAATTAAACTAATTACCAATTTATTCAGTTCATTCTTGGCCTTTCTGTAGTCATTCATAAGCTAGTTCTAGGACCCAGGGCCTCAGTCATGGTAATCAGGTGCTCTACAGCTGCTACACTCCCAGCCACTTACATTTTTATTTTTATTTATTTATTTATTTTTTTTTTATTTTGAGGCATAGTCTTGCCATGTGCCACAGGCTGATCTTGAATTCATGGTCATCCTGCTTTCGCCTCCTGAGTGTCTGAGAATCAGGCACAGGCCACCGTACCTGTGACTGGCACTTTAGGGGGAAAAAGTGCTCCATTTGGATGTACTTTTATGAGTCTTTTCTCCCCCAAACTCAGCTGGGGATAGCCAGACGAGGGGAGAAGAGGAAAATCCCCGCCACTCCTCCAGCGCGCTCCTCACCCTGGTCAATTAGTCGGGGTCAGCTGTAGCCCTAGTCCTAACCCCAGTCCCCGGGGAGGCAAAGCTCTTGTCCAGGCCCTGCTGGGTGGCCTCGAGCAGATCACTTTGAGGTTTGGCCTCAGTTTCCTGATCTTCAGGGTGAGGCTGAGGCCCTCCCCCTTCAGGGTGCTTCTGAGTTCTTGGTGTGCATTTGGCTGGCTCCCCGCTTCCAGCTGGGTGTGCTGGGTCCTGCCTTTTTGTCTGTGTCAGATGGTGTGACACTGGGTCCATCCTCACTTGCACGTCCGTAGGTGGTGGACTAGGGTAGACTTGTATGCGCCAATGGCTGGAGACCAGGCTGGCTGGTGCCCCAAAGGCTGGTAGCTGAAGCGAGTCCAGCCCTGCTGACCAGGAGGCGTGGCAGAGGGTGTGGTCTTGCCCTGGTTGGGGCCATGGGACCTGCCCAGCCTCAGGGATGAGGCTCAGGGCCAGAGTTGGCATCCTTAGCTCTGCCCCGACCTTCCCTTTCCTTACCCTCCCTCACTGCCTCGTGAGGCTGGCCCGGGGTCCTCCTAGTCTCTCAGAGATTTCCCTAGGCAAATGTCTCGGGCTCCTCAGCAGGGCTGGCATGAGTCACTGAGCAGGGACAGGCCTCAGAGGCACGGAATGCTGCTTCTCCAGCCAAGGGTCGGCGTGGTTTCTTTTTTCGTTGTTCTGGATTGGCTCTGTGGCTTTTAGAAATTAAGCAGTTTTATCTTGTTCCAAGCGCTTGTGTTTCAGCAAGGGTGGGGCGCGGGGTGGGGGGGCTGACTCTCTAAGAAGGGAACTTTCCACTCATCCTGGCCTCGGGAGAGCAGAGAGGCTGGGCCAGTGGGCAGTCACAGACAGGGACCATGGAAGGTCCCCACCACCCTGGCGTTGGATGTGCGCTCCTGGCTGGGGTCTGGTTTGTATAGAGGGACACCAGGCTCCCAGCTCTTCTCAGGATGGACCTCTGTCATGGGACAGGCGGGAACGGGGGGCTCCCTGGAGACCATACCTCGACCCTCACTGCCCCGTCTGTCTCCAGCTTTCTGTCCCTCCTCATCTCCCACCTCTGGGAAGTCTCGTCCGGGGCCCGAAGCCTCCAGCAGGCCCAGCTGTGACTGACGTGTGACTCTGGGGTAGAAATCAGAAGCAGAAGGTGCCGGGCAGAGCTGACTCCTGAAGCTGAGGAGGCTCTGGCCCAGCCCTCTCCAGCTCCCGGTGGCTGCAGCAGCCCCAGCATTCCTTGGCCCGCCGCACATCATCCAGCTTCTGCCTCTGATGTCTGGTGACGCTCCTCTCAGATCTCCCTCCGCCTTTTGAAAAAGGAGGACACTTAAGGCCTCGGGGCAGCTGGGATGACCACATCTTAAGTCATGACATTATATCTGCAAAGAGCCTAAGTCATGACATTATATCTGCAAAGAGCCTTTCCCTTTTTTTTTCTTTCCAAAAAATTGTCCTATTTATGCATTTATTTGTGTGTGTGCTTACATGCTGCGGCAGGTGTGGAGGGCAGAGGACAACCTGAAGTAATTCCGTTCTCTCCTTCTACCATTTGGGTACAGAGATCGAACTCAGGTCATCAGGCTTGGTGCCAAGCACCTTTCCCAGCTGAGCCGTGTCCCATGGCCTAAGGGTCTTTTTTCACAGACATCACTATGGGGCGTGGGTGGGAGTATGGTGTGTTAGGGGTGTGTGTGTGTGTGTGTGTGTGTGTGTGTGTGTGTGTGCATGTGAGGTGTGAAGTGTGGGTGTGTGGGAGTGGGAGTGTGTGGGGGGTATGGAATGGAAGGTTGAGGGGGGTGTGAAGGTGTGTGCGTGTGTATGGGTGTAGGGGTGTGTGGGTGTGGGATGTGGGGTTGGTGGCCACTATTCACCCTGTGGCCGACGTTGATCTAGTTCTAAGACTGTAGCTAGGGCTGGAGAGATGGCTCAAAGGTTAAGAGCACTGACTGCTCTTCCAGAGGTCATGAGTTCAATTCCCCAGCAACCACATGGTGGCTCAGAACCATCTGTAGTGAGATCTGGTGCCCTCTTCTGGTGTGCAGGCATACATGCAGGCAGAACATTGTATAAAGACTATGTAGCTGAGATGGCCTTGACCTCTGGATCCTCCAGCCTCCACCTGCTGGGACTGCAGGTGTGCCACCACACCAGGCTCTTTGCCTGTTTTCTGAGTCAGACTGCTTTGTTGTTGATTGAGGGAGCTCTTTATATATGCCGGTTATTAGTTCCTTATTTGATCTATCTCGTCAGTACTTTCCTAGTTATTGGTTGTTAGTTCCTTGTTTGATCAGTACTTTCTTGTGCCCCATGGACTGTCTTTCCCCCACCCCAGCACCCGCCTGGGTTTGTGGCTTATAGGTGAGGAGGACAACATGAGACCTGGCCCCTTGGGACTCCTTCAACATTGCCCGTCAGATGTGATGTGTCCGTATGTGCGTGTGTGGATGTAAAAGGACAGCCCTGGTTACTGTTCCTCAGACACCCTCCACCGTGTGTTTTGAGACAGAACCTCTTTTTTGGTGTTGCTGTTTTGTTTCATTTTTGAGACAAGGTTTCTCTGTGTAGCCCTGGCTCTCCTGGAACTCACTCTGTAGACTGGGCTGGCCTTGGACTCAGAGATTTGACTACCTCTGCCTAATAAGTGCTGGGATTAAAGAAGTCTACCACCACTGCCTGGTCAGTTAAGGCTCTTCAGAAGACCCAGGTTTGGTCTCCAGCACCCACATGGCAGCTCACAGTATCTGCAGCTCTGGTAACTCCTCTTCCAGCCTTTGAAAGGACCAGACACACACACCGTGCACGGACATACATGAAAGCAAAATACTCATACACATAAGATAAAAATAAAAAATAAATCTTTTGGCCTAGTGTCCCAGCCCAAGGTGGAGAGGAAGGGACAGGGGTGGGGGGTGGGGAGGTTGTTGGTGTTCTGCCTGGAGAGGGTAACTCTGCCTCTGTGATGTGTGTCAGTGGGTAGGGGGCATCCTCCAGGACCTGCACGCTCAGTGTGGACATCGTGTGTTCTACAGACAGGCAAAGCCTATGCATCCACACGCCTTGCTTGCAGGGTATTTGTTGGTGGTCCAGCAAGGCGCTCGTTTGCTTCCTGCAAGGAATAGGGCAGCTGCAGGGATTCTTTTGTCCAGCAGGGGGCGGTGCAAGCTCTTAAAAGCCCAGTATACCTGGGCAGTGCTTTCCTTGGATCTGCAGAAGAGGCTCCATGCTGCTGGCTGCTCGCTGGCTGGCTCCCAGGACAACCTGCGTCAGGCTGAGAGGAGAGAAGCGTCACGAAGAGAACTTCAGGGAGTGAGAGGCCCCTGAATTCCCATTCTAACTGGGTGGCACCCCAGGTGTGTGTGGGCATAGGGGGGGCTCCAGACTCTTTGTATTTTATTTTCCTAGTTTTTATTTGATGTGTTTCATTCTCTCAAGTTTTCCCAGCTCACTTGGTTTTGTGTGTTCATGTGATCAGTGTGCACAAGTACCTGGGGTTGACATTGTCTCCCTCTATCATTTTCTACCTTTGTTTTTAAAAATTACGTGTGTGTGTGTGTGTGTGTGTGTGTGTGTGTGTGTGTGTGTGTGCACGGCATGATATGTGTGAGGACAGCTTGTGGAAGTCAGCTCTCTCTGTGGGCCCTGGGGAACACCAGCGTGTACAGCCATATTTGGCCTTTACAGGGCAGCCAGGGATTGAACCCAGGTCCTCATGCCTCTGCAGTAGGCTTTCTTTACCAACTGAGCCATATCCCCAGGCCACATTTTTCTAACTTTCTGAGGAATATTTCAGACATAAAGGAAAGATGGGGTTGTGACTGCCCACACACCACCTCCTGGACCTACTGTCAATGTCCTTCTTTATCCTTCATTACCAACAGTCAGGCTCTCTTCAGACATATTTTATTGACTAATTAATTAATTTGTCTTTGAGACAGAGTCTCATGTAGCCAAGGCTACCCTCAAACTCATTATGTAACCAAGGCTGGCCTTGAACTGATCTTTCTACCTCCATCTCCTGAGGGCTGAGATTACAGGCCCGTACCGCTGCTGAGACCAGTTTTAGCGGGTTGCAGACGTCAGTACACATGACCTCTACTCCCCTCTGCTCATGCTTCATTAACCACAGGGATTCTCTTTCCACGTGTCTGTGCCGCTCGGATGTTGGGGTGTGCCGTCCGGTGAATTTTGACTGGTCAATGCACTGTGTGTCCCAACTGCAGCCACACCACGGACACTGGCATTTCCCCAGAGAGTCCCCCTGCCCCTTCCTTTACAGGTGCTGGCTTTGTCTCCTCCAGGGAATTTCCCCAGCCTGGATTCCCTTATCGGGTTCAAATGTCAGCAGAATCATGCTAGCTGCTGCGGGTCCCCATGCCTTGTTCCAGGTTATAACTGGGTTGTGCTCCTCACCTGACCCTTCTGTGGCTTTTACATGTTCCTGTTTCCTCTGGTTGCTTCTGGTTGGGGCCCGACGATGAGTGTCTTGTCCTGGATATTGCCTTCATCGGCTTGTGGAAACTCCTAGCCTGATTGGCCCTTAGAATCGGTGTCTGTTTAATTCTGAAGAAACTGCTAGATCTTTACCCCAAGTGGCCATGGGACTTCAGTCTAAGCAGCAGTGTGAGGTGGTTCTGGTCGCTCTGCATTCGTGCCAACATTTGCTGCCGTCACTCTTGAATTTCAGTCATTCTGGTGGGCGGGTTGTGCTATTTCATTCTGGCTTTAATTTTGCATCTGTCTGATGACTAATGTGGCCCGGCACATTGTCATGACCTTCCTAGCTATTCATGTATTTTTCCTTTGTAAGACATCTTTCTGAAATCTGTGGCTCATTTTCAAATCGGATGGTTCAACTCTTCCTCGTTACTTCTGGATATTGGTCTTTGGTCAGATGTGTTGCTTTGCAGAGAGTTTGCTCCAGTCTGTGGCTCAGCTGTTGGTTTGGTGAATCGTGTTTTCTAATGAGTAGAAGTGTGTCCCCTTACTTTTGGTGAAGTCTCATTTTGCAATTTCTTTTTCTTTTTCCTTTGTGGTTTTCACTTTCTGTGTTCTGTAAGAATCCTCTCACACCAAGTTGCAAAGATAATGTCAGTTTTCTTCTAGTATGTTTATACTGTTAGTTCTTAGGCCTCAGCGTTGGGTCTGGTGTGAGGTGGGGTCCACGTTTGTGTTGTCAATGTTACTTTCTGTGTCCCCACGGTTGCTCAGCTCCGTCTGCGACATTTCTTCCCCTGTTGTGTGGTTTGGACACTTCTCTTGAAAATCATTGAGGGCTGGGGATGGATGCAGGAGGGGTCGGCACCGCAGAAACCATGTGTGGTGACAGACAACGCCTGTCACCCCAGCACTCAAGGGACGGGGGCATGAGGTCTGTTTGAGGTCCTCAGCTACAGAGTGAGCCTGAGGGCACGCTGGGCTCACTGAGTCTTGAATAATATGGAAGGGGAGCACCAGAGGGATGACTCAGTAGTCGAGAGCACTGGCTGCTCCAGGCAGAGGACCTGACTTCCGTTCCCAGCATGCAAATGGTGGCTCACAATTGCCTATAACTCAAGTTCTAGAGCTTCTGACCCTCCCCCCCACCCCCCCGCCCCCGGCATCTACAAAATGTGTATGCGTGTACAGACAGACAGGCACACAGACACACACATGTAAATAGAATTTTTTCTTTAATTTTTAAAAAGAAAGAAAAGGCCAATTTGGCTGTACACACCTGTGATCCTAGCACTTGAGAGGCAGAGCTAGGCACATCTCTGTGAGTTCTAGGCCAGCCAAAGCTATAGTGTGATACCTTGGCTCACAAAAACAATAAAATTTTAAAAAGAGGGAGGGAGGGCGGGAGGGAGGGAGGGAGAGAGAGAACTAGGTGGCTGAGAGGGTAAAGGTGCTTGCCACCCACACTGATGACCTAAGTTAGATCTCCAGAACCCACATGATGGGGGAGAGAACTGACTCCCAAAATTCGCCCTCCGCCCTCCGCACCATCCACACGTCCACACAGATGTAAAACTGTGAAGGTCTCCACCCTTCTGTCAAAGCAGACTCCACTGCTTGTGATTTTCATGGAGGGCTTCTTGCGAGTGTTTGTCAGATGTCTTCCTGAGGACTGTGGGTTTTGGCACTGCTGTAGACTGGAGTGCTGTATCTATATATTTGTAGAACAAACAGACTGTTTCTCTTGGGACCCTCTCATAACACAAGGGTGCTCGTAACACAAGTGAGGGCGCCGGCTTCCCCACGCACCAAGCAGCGCCCTCACAGGGGAGGACGCCGCTGCCCTGTAATTCAGCCCAGCTCTGACTCTGTCGTTTGTCTGCAGGCAATGAAGGTCTCCATGGGCTGGGGTTCAGTTCCTTAAGGCTGCCCTTCCTTGAATGCCACTCAGCAAGCCTGGTTTTCTGGAAATTCTGACTAGTCAGCCATGAGTTGGGGAACCCTCGGGGTTCAGTTCATTTGCTGAAGCAGCTTATACAGCATGGGGAGCCCTTTGCTTAAGCTCGCTAGTCTAGCAGGAGGAGTGTTCTAGATCCGTTTTTATTATTTTTAAGTGTGCGTGCGTGCGTGCGTGCGTGCGTGTGTGTGTGTGCGTGTGCGTGTGCGTGTGCGTGTGCGTGCGTGCGTGCGTGCGTGCGTGTGTGTACATGCCTGCAGGTACTCAGAGAGGACAGGTTCTCTTGGAGTTAGAGTTATAGGTGGTTGTGAACACCCGCCAAACCCAGGTTTGCAGGAGTAGTTGGCCAGGCCACCTCTCCAGCCACTCAGGAAGGCTCTTTGGAAGACTAGAAATGAACAACCGGGCGTGGGGTGAGGTTTGACAGGGTGTGCGTGGAGCAGAGCTGAGGCGCACTGAGCTCCCTGAGTATGGATGAATCTAGGGCTCCTCCTGTGTGTCCCTGAACTGAGTCCTTGTGGGGTGTCCTAGAGACCACGCCGTGTGATGACAGATTGCACAGCAGGTGTGGTCGCTCACACGTGGTTCCAAGAGTTTGAGACCAGCCTGGGATAGTTCAAGATCTTCCTGGGCTTCAGAGAGAGACCATGTCTCCGGGCTGGAGAGATGGCTCAGTGGTTAAGAGCACTGGTTGCTCTCACAGTCGGGGCTAGGTTCCCAGCACCCACGTGGTGGTTCACAAGCATCTGTAATTCCAGTCCCAGGGGATCTGATGCCCTCTTCTGACCTCCACAGGCCCCAGGTATGCATGCACATGTTGCATGGACATTCATGTAGGTAAAACACTCACACATAAAATAAAAATGCATAAATATAAAACGAAAATTTATGTCTCAAACATAAAAGAAATGGACAAACAAAAACCACACACATGTGCACACACACACATACACACACACCCCACATCCCCCACACAAGCATCACCTCTCCCCACCCCCACCCCTTATTAGCTGCGGTTAAGATCACATACATGACTGTTTCCTGGCCAAGCCCTGACTAAGCCACCAAGTCAGTAGAAGGAAGGAAGTAATGATGATAAGAGGAGAAATCAAGGAAATGGAAAAAGAGAAAAAATAAGGTCATTCTTTGTTTCTTTAAGACGATACAGAGCAACAAACTTCAGCTAGATTGCTGGGCTGGAGAGGGAGAGTCAGGAGAGAAGTGATCGGCGTTAGCACCGTGGGTTATCCTCAGGCCGGTAGGTAGGCAGGCAGGCCCGGTGGGCACACCTTTAGTCCCAGCACTGGGCAGCAGAGACGGGTGGCTGTCTAGTCCCAGGTCAGCCTGGCCTGCATGGTGAGTGAGGCTCGGTTTTTAAAATCCTATAGATAAAGAAACGTCATGAACAACCTGTGTGAATACACTCAACAATGTGCAGAATGTGAACCAACTTTTCGAAATGAAATTTATCAGGCAGGCATGTGGAGCACACCTGTAAACCCAGCTTTCAGGAGCCTGAGGTAGGAGAATTGAGTCTGAAGCCAGCCTGTCTCAAGAAGAAAACCAGTAACAGTGACCAAAAGTCAACAGTAAAGGAGGTTAGAAGAAACCAGAATAGTGCTCTGTCTATGATGTCTAATTGTGCTGGGCAATGATGGCACACACCTTTAATCTCAGGAGGCAGGCAGATCTCTGAGGCCAGCCTGGTCTGCAAAGTGAGTTCCAGGACAGCCAAGGCTACCCAGAGAAACCCTGTCTTGAAAAACAAAACAACAAGCAAACCAAAAAAAGAAAAAGAAAAAAGAAAGAGAGAAAGAAAGAGAGAAAGAAAGAGAGAAAGACATTTAATTGTAAAAACATAACACAATCCCTTTCTA